TCCCTTTCAGGAAGAGTCACAAGGTCTATATCATTTAAATCTTTCTCGGGAGTTGTATTAATAATTTTACTCTGGACAAGGTTCCTTTGGCATTTCATATTTGTATATGGCGCCCTCTAGTGTCCAGAAGCTCTATTCTGGAGCTGCTCAGCCCCTGAAGCAATGTTGGGGGTCGCAGGGGAGCGGTACTGGTACCTGGGGGGAGGAAAGAGCTGTTCCCTCCTTCCCAGCTGCTGTGCCTATCTCCACTGCCTGAGTCAGTGGGCCAGTCACACAGGTATGTTTTTGTCCCAGAGCAGTCGGATATGGATCCCTGCTTTCCACAAGCGGCCAGAATCCCAGTCTCCCCAGGAACTCTCCTTGTATTAACTTTCCAACCCGGTAGTCGTGCGAGTCTCATGAAAGCACTATGCAATGTAGGTTTGTGCTCTCAGAGCAGATCTCCAGAGCTAAGTATTCAGCAGTCCCAAGCCTTCCACTTTCTCCGTGCTCCATTTCTCTTCCTCCCGCTGATGAGCTGGGGTGGAGGAAGGGCTCGGGTCCGGCCGAGCCACAGCTCTGGTACGTTACCCCATTCAGTGAAGTCTGCTATTTTCTCCAGGTGTTTGCAGTCTGGCGCCATCCTCTTTCCTGTTGCTGTCTCACGATTAGTTGTGCCAACTATATTTTCTAAATGTTTCCAGTTTTAGGAGGAAGCCTCTGTCTCTCCTCTCACACCGCCATCTTTTTCAAAGTAGATATTCTTATACCCAAGTTATAGATAAGGAAATTGAGACAGAGAAAATAAGCAATATGCCAACAGTTACACAACAAGTAAGTATTAGAGCTGAGATGAAAATTTTGGACAGGCTACAAACCACTGCTTTTCACCAATATGCTGTTTCTATTTCCCTAGTATAATCTGAAAAAATATTTACTTTTATTTCTATTTCAGGCTTAGTAAATAAATCCTTCCTAACAATATTCACTAAAGATTTTGTGTATGGCTCTATGGGGCATTAAAAACCTGTGATAATTTCACCAAAAACAGGAATCAGTGATACAACTATTATGTTGTACTTGGGATTGCTAAAAACTTTGCATTTAGCCTTTTGGATAAATATTTTTAAGGGATCTTATATAAGTGCCAGGTACTACACTAAATTCTTGGGATACAAAGATGAATGCATTCATAAGTAGCTTACATGCTAGGAGACAAATAAAATACAGTGTGAAAGGTGACCATGTTTTTTACATTTTTAGAAAATAAGATGGAGTCATATTTGTCAGACAATTAAAATGGAATTAGGTGGACATCACTGAGACAGGGCTAAATACATCCTCAGTGCAACGTGAACATGAACTTTAAACTCTGCTAAACAACAATGTCTCAAGAACTAATATAACCAAATTCTGCTGACTGTGACCTTGTAGTTTTTCAAAATACCAGCTGAAAACTGTAATCTTATAGTTCTAAGATTTCTCCCTGTCAATCCTAATAAGCACCCTCACCTCTTGCCAGCACCAATTCTAATTTTTGACAAACAACTTTTGTGATTTTTCTTAACCTTCTGGTTTTTACCTTCATAAGCCTCTTCCATTCTGTGGTCTGGTGTAACATAATACCAGTGCATCTTGAATCAATCTGTGTCTCCCAGGCTGCAGTCCCTGAAAAAAACTGTTTAACCTGACCAGGATCTTTACTTCATTTCTCAGTCAACAAGTACAATGGAAGAGAAGCAAGGAAGCTGTCCAGCTCTACTTGGGGAGGTAAAAAGGCTTCAAAGAGAATGTGATGGATCTTGAGGAATGAGTAAGAACTGCCAGACAGAGAAGATAAGGGCATTCCAGGGAGAGGGAAATTAAATACAAAGGAACACAAAAATAAAATTGCATGGAATTCATATAACTGCTAGCAGTTTGCTATTGCTGAAGTATCAAGTATAGAATAGGAAGTGACAAGATAAGAATGAGAAGATACCAAAAGCCAGACTTTGGGGGGCCTTCCACACCATGCTACTGACTTTATCCTGTAAGCCAGTGCTTCCCAAACCTGGCGGGACATCAAAATCATGCAGACAAAAGTAGCTAGTGACTTTCATACAACCAGCTCAGTATAAATTCTTAAACTCAGCCTCTGAAACCACTGAACAGAAAGCCATAATAATAAGGATTTTAAGCAGGATAATACCATGATCAGATTTATGTACTGAATTATTCTACTAAGCCTCTGAAACCACTGAACAGAAAGCCATAATAATAAGGATTTTAAGCAGGATAATACCATGATCAGATTTATGTACTGAATTATTCTACTGCCAGTATGGAGACACAGACCAGTTAGTTATAAGGCAGCTGAAATAGCCCAGGTCAAAGTATTTTAGGACTACTACATGAAAGTAATGACAGGGAACTATTCTTTGAATCAGACATTGGCTATGAGAGAAAAAAAAAATAGGGCAAAAGTAAAGGAAAATATAAGGATGCAGTTTTTCTTTTAAGATATTAACAAACTAAATACATTTTGAGGCTAGCTGAAAGAGGAAAATAGGAGGCTAAAATGGTTAAAGGAGAACAAGATTATGGGGAATGAAAGCAGAGAAAGACTCAAAGACAGAAAGAGATTCACCTCATGAAAAGAAAAGGAAAAAGAGTACTATGATGATAAAAAACTGCATAAGCCCATTTTTCTTAAAGAAAACATGAAATCCAAACAAAGGCTAACTTCCCCTTTCAAGGCTTTTTAAAGTCCAGAATTGCCTAGCTAAAGAAATCAAATTGCTTATTTCGCTGTATGTCTAAGGAAAAGATGAGAATTCTCTTTGGACTACAGAGTTTAGTAATTTAATAATAAAAACACATTAGGACCACTTATTGCAAGCATGTGAATTATTTGAGAGTTTATAACACTATTTTGGATAACTACAAAAGTTCATTAAACAATCTCTAGTGTGAAAACTTAACAACAGAGCAATATGGTTTGGTATAAAAGAATGAACAATTCTGTGTGCCTGGCTACAGCCTTTGATTTAGAAGCTGTATAATGCTTGTATTAGTCTGCTTGAGCTGCCATTCACAAAACACCATAGACTGGATAGCTTAAACAATAGTTATTTTCTCACAACTGTGGAGACTGGGAAGTCCAAGATCAAGATCCAGCAGGGTCAGTTTCTGGTGAGAGCTTTCTTCCGGGCTTGTAGGCAGCTACCTTCTCAGTGCTGTCCTTACATTGCAGAGAAAGTACAAGCTCTCTGGTGTCTTTCTTGTAAGGATACTGATCCGACTGGAAAGGACTGTCACTCTTAGGACCTCATTAACTATAATTACTTCCATAAAGGCTCCAGCCACACCAGGAGTTAGGGCTTCAACACAGAAATTTTGAGAGGACACATTTAGTTCCTAACAATGCTCAATATAACTTTTAGTAGTTAAGAGACTAACTTGGTTCTCTTCTTTTTCAATATAGTACTTCTTAAAATAGGTGTTACTGACAGTTTCTTTAAACACAACACATATTTTTTTGTTTTGTTTTCATTCTTCTCTACTCTGAAACTAGAAAGAGATAAAGATTGATGTATCTATAAATATGGAATAAAAGATCAATAAAGGACTGGATAGGGAAGAGTAGCAGAAACAGCCACAGTGTTAATTTAGGAAAGGTACTTGATCTTAATCTTTCACTCCAGCACTCCAGAGTGAAGTTAAAGAATATTTCACTATTAAATATAGTTCCTTGCATGTAGAAAGCACTGAGGGAATAGGAGTTTGCTGAATGAAAGGAAAATAGATGGATGAAAAGCACAGAAGGAAGGAGAATAGAAGTAAGAGAGGAAAGTATGTAAAATATGCAAAAAATAAGCAACTAAATTTGTTAAAATGTTGCACTGGATAACATAAATTCAAGAAAATACAATCAACTACTTACCACTTTAACCATTTCCAGCTTCTCATTTGTAATCTGTTCTGTATACTTTCTATATGCTGCATTTTTAGGAATTTGCTCAAGAACGTCAAGAATCTTTGTGTATAATATTTTTAGCCTCTGAAAAGACAAATAGACATATTTCCACCTTAAAGTATCACCCATGACTTAAGGGAACATACAAAAGTCCCACAAATTTTTTTTTTTTTAAAGGCACATCACCTTTTAAAAAAGCATTTAACTCCAATTTCTTCATGTCTATGCTCTATCTACCCCTTTTACAACTGAGGGAAATGTGAGTATAAATATGGAAATTTTTCATATGTGATATGTATGACAAAAGTTGTACATAATCCAAAGACATATTAAGTAAAAATAAAACTGTATTCTAACTTATTGCTGATGATCTTTTTCAGAAATAAAATCATTTACTAAATGAGTATTTCTCAAACTGAGGTCCTAGGCACTACAAATTCTGATTTTTTTTTCAAGTCTTCCTACCTGAATTTCTGTAGAAGTTTGTGTGTGTATGTGTGTGTGTATGTGTGATCAAATTAACTGAATGCAGTCATAAAACTTCAGTGCTTATGCTTATGATGATGACGGAATTTATACCATGCAAATGAAGGTTCCAGCAAAGGCTCAATAGAGAAAAACAGCAAGAAAACTGAGTCACCACCAGCATGGTGTAAGCACACCGAACTTGTAAGTTCACATACAGCAACCAGCAGTGAAGTCACATGGTAAAGAAGCTGTTGTAGCGGATCCTAACTCACAACAGCTCCTAAATAGGAAGCGTAATCACAAATATACATACATGATGAACTTTGTTATTTCTTTATATTTAATGTTAAATTTTAGTTTAATTGCATAAAATCTATAGGCACTAATACCTCACTCATATCTATTCACTCATATATATATATATGAGTAACAAGTAAATCCACCTTGAGGGCCTCTTAAGAATTGTTCTTCAAAATTAGTCTGCATATTTAAACATTATTTATGTATTTGAGTATGATGTTCAGTAATAGAGAATACTACTACTACCCTAATGTAGAGCTTGTCAGATAACATGTAATATGAACTGTGTTTTCTTAAGCCTCATTTTTTCTTAATTTTAGCAAAGGGTATGACAATAGAAAAACCTGGTAAAAGACTTGGGTTCTAAAATGGGGTGTTAATAATATCTATTTCATAGGGTGTCATATAACTTACAACAGTACCTGGCACACATTAAATTTCAATAAATGTTTGCATTAGTATTCTACAGGAGAAAAGTGTCACTTCAGCAGATATAAGAGAAAAGTTCACAGAAAAGGTAAAGCACCTGAAATAGAGCTGGACGTATGCGAACACTGAAAGATTTTGGAAAAGGAAAGTTTACAAATAAAAACATACAGACTGAATGGCAGAAAGTACAGGGAACATAAAGAAATTAGTATACACTTCTATTTTCCTTGACCTGTGTTGTCCAATACAGTAGCTACTATATGGTTTTGAGCACTTGAAATGCGGCTAGTCTGAACTGAGATGTACTGCAAGTGTAAATACACACTGGAGTTTGAAAATTTAGTATGAAAAGACTATAAAATGTCCAGTTTTTATAGTAATCATATATTGAAACGGTGATATTTGGGATATGTTAGATAATATACATTGACTTTTACCTTTATCTTTATTTTTAAAGGTGCCTCCTAGAAAATTAAAAATTACCAACATGGCTTACATTTATGACTTACATTCTATTTTTATTGGACAGCATGTGGCAAAAATACTGGACACATATTATATTTTTATTGGACAACATGCGGCAAAAATACTGGACACAAAGGAAATACTTAGGAGATAAGAGTTGGAGAAAAAGTGAGTCAGAATGTGTTTTTGCATACCAGATTAAAGCATTTGGGCTTTATTCTGTGGTCAGTGAAAAGACTTGGGAAAATTGTATGATTAGATTTGTGTTTCAGGAAAACTAAAGTGGTACTAGTGAGTGGAAAGGATTGGATGAAGGAGAAACAGGCAGAAAAGCCAGTAAGAAGGTTGTTGCAATTCTCTGAAGTGTAGTAATAACAGTAGGAAAAGGAAAGAGAGGTCAGACTACAGAGCTATTACAGAAAAAGATCAACAAAACTCATCATTGTAAAGAACATGAGGATAAAAGGGTGGAAGAAGTATTAATTTTTATGTCTGAATTCTCAGCCTGGGGAATAGAAAGATTCTGATATCATCAAGAAAAAGAGAGTCCACAGTAGAAAAAACAGATTAAGAAAGGGAAAATCATGAATTCAGTTTTAGAAAGTAATTAATCTAACATCACTATGAACTATTAATGAGTTTAAGATATTCATTCAACATTCTTTACTAAGCACATACCACATGCTAGCCATAGTTCTAGAAGTGAACAAAGGAATAAAAAATTCCTGCCTTCATGAAATCTTATGGTCCAGTAGAAAGAGAGGCAACAAACAAGATTAATTAGTTGACTACAGTGTCTTGAATAGTGAGTGGAGTCATGTATTTAGAGTGAAATGGAAAGCCTTAAGCAGGGTTTTGAGGAAAGGAGTAATAAACTTGACTCACATTTTAACAGGTTGACTGACATTACTTTGGTTGAAAAAAGCCCAAACTGAGGAACTGACAAGCACAGAGAGGCAGTTAGGGAGCAAATGCTGAACCACAGCAATGACAACTGATGACAGTGGCAGAGAACAGGGTGGTAGCAGAGGACAGGGTGAAAAGTGTTAAAAATCTGGATGTATTCTAAAAGCAGAACCCACAGGATTTACTGAACTACCAAACATGGAATGTGAGAGAAAGAAAGGAATTAAAGATGATTTCAAGGTTTTTTAACCTGAGTGACTAGAAGAATGGAACTACAATTTACTGAGGTGAGTGAGCCTGAGAGAAGGAGCAGGTTTTAGGGAGAAGACCAGAAACCCAATTTTGGACATTTCAGTTTGGGTTGCTCATCTGGGAGCCAAGCAGATATACCCACAAAGCAATATATATACAAGACTCTCATAAAGAGAGGTCAGTGATTGATAGGGAAATCTACAAGTTATCAGTATATAGGTGATGTTTAAAACCATTAGAGTGGTATTTAAAACCAGACACCGAGAAAGACTTAATGTGAATATAGAAAAAAATCTAAGAACTAAGGCTTAGAACTCCAAAATTTAGAAATGGGGATATGAGGAATAACCAGAAAGAAGGTAAGACAGTATTAGGAGGGAAAAAAACAAAAAGCAAAAAAACAAACAACAAAACAAAACAGGAGATCGAGCACTGTCCTGAAGCTATCCTGAAGCACAGTAAAGAAAGTATTTGATGGAGACAGTGCCAAATGCGTCCAAAGCTGTTACTGGGTCAATTAAGATGAGAAACGTGAGCTGATCCTTAGATTTAGCAGCACAGAGATGATGATGACCTTGAAAGAAAAGTGCAGTTCTGGCCAAGCCTGACTAGAATGGGTTCAAAGAGAAACAGAGAAATTACAGGTAACTCTTTTGATTTACCTACAAAAGGAAGGAGAGAAATGGTGTGATTATTGGAGGGAGGAGAAGAATGAAAGGAGGTTTTTTGGTTTTTTTAGATGGAAGCAGCCTGAATACTGATGGCAAAGACCTGCTAGAAGGGAAAGGTGATAACATAAAGGGGAAATTGGTAAAGCGGTATCTTCGGTTAGCAAAAAAGTGTACGGAATCTAGCAGAAAAGGTGAGGCGGGGGTGCAGGCAGAGGGGCAGGTGGACAATGGAGATACAGACACGGAAGGGCACTCACAAAAGTACAAGTGAAGCCACGACAGTGCCACGGAAAAAGTCAACCAAAAAAGTGGCTTAAGAAAGACATCACGCAACAACTATAACTATGACACGAAGTGGATAACGTTCCTGCCCCAAGAGCTCATGCGGAGTTGTAATTTGGGGCTTGAAATCTCCGTACCCCGTTTGCCTTTCCAACAAGGTCACAGGGCTCTAGTCTTCCTTGGGAACTCAGGACTGAAGGGAGAAAAGAGGTACATACCTCGTGTGGACTCTCACATACAGCCAATCCCACAAGGCCGGTGGTCTGTTCAAAAACAAAACACGATTCATGCTGTTTACTTACATTCCGCGGGCCCACCACGCTGCGGAAAACCAAAGCCACCACCATTCCCCTGGCTAAACCTGGCGTAAAACCAGCTACCGGCCTCAATGACACCTGCTCGGAGCTTTCCGCGGCCTCTCCGAGCGGAGCCACTAACCTCGTCATTCCTAAGGGCACAGCAGAACGAGTCCCCGAGAAGCACCGCCACGCCCGCGCCAACTCCGCCACCACCCGCGGGACCAGGGGCACCGGGCGGACTCTACCCCGCAGTCTAAATGCCAACAGTGACCTCCAGCCGGCTCACCTTCTTCAGCACACCCGCCATGACAGCGCCGACGAGCCAGGGGCGCGCAGCCCTCTGGGAGCGGCGCTCAGACCCGCTCAATCCACCGCCGACGCTGCCACGCCGTCACCGTGGAAACAGCTGGCTCCTCCCCCGCGCGGTCTCCGCGAAGGCAGAGGCTCTGTCGCTCCCCTTCACAAAAGGAAAATCGCCGCATGCGCAGTGAGTACACAAGCGTCTGAATCAGGCACTGGGAAAAGAATTGTGTGTGAGGTGTCTGTGTTCCTGTCCCTTCCGCCCTGACGGCTTGCGTAGAGGTTGAGGGAAACACTCCAAGCTACAAAAAACTCCGACGTACTCGCTGTAGGAACCTGCACTGTGCATAACCTTTGGCGAATTCCTCAACTTCTGTTCCACAATGTAGTGTGTAGTAAAACGAAGTTCATCTGGAGCTACCGACTAAGAGAGCTTATAGCTGCAAAGGTTAATTCGTAGCACAAAGATGTTAGTATTCTCAGCCTTATGAACCGAGGCAGTATGCAGTGTAAGGCCATTTCCCATCTCACAACTTTGCCATTTCACTCATTTTCCCAGGTGAAACGATTCCAGATCATACCACTTTTCCGCACTTCCACAAACATGTATTGAGCCCCACTATGTGTTAGTTACTGGAGCACAATTTGTAAAACAGGATCTCACATCCTGGAATTCACAAAACAATGATGAAGACATGCATTAATAAGTAATTTGATAAGTATTCTAAAAAAAGGTTTAAGCCAAATGCAGTGGTAGCAGGAAAGAGGAAAGAGCTAACCAAAAATTTTGGTTGACCAGTTAAGGAAGGCATTTGCTAAAAAGTCAATGGAAGAAAAGCACAAATTCAGAGAATACATGTACAAAGGTTATATATGTTTGTGTGTATGTATACATATATATATATATATGTATACATACACACACACATTGAATAGCAAAAACATAACTTAAATAGTAAAACAACTCACAGAATGGGAGAAGATATTTGCAACCACATGTAATCACCAGAAGGTAAGTTGTACCTAGAATATATAAGGAAGTTCCACAAATCAGTAACAACTAATAACTAGAAGAGGCCTCCCTGCTTCCATTCCTGCATCTCTCTCTGGAATATATTAAATGAGTTAATTGATATGTGTAAGTCACCTGGCTCAGTACATGGAATATAGTACCACACAAGTGATTGTTATTAATTTTTTATTTTGCTATTATTAGTCTCGACCCAGTAGCTAGAATAATCCTTTTAAGAAGTACTGTGTTCAAAATTCTGTGGTTTTTCACTCAAGCTGTAAAAGCCAAATTCCTTTTCTCTGCTTACATGAGATTGTCCCCTCTGCCTCTCACCTCTCAGATCAACCTCTTATCCCCCTCTCACTGCTCAGGTAGTTGCTCTTCTAACCCTTTTTTTTGGAAAATCCTTCCCCCAAATAGACACGAAACTCAATCTCTCACCTCTTTCATGTCTTTGCTCAAAAATTACCTTCTCAATGTGGCCTGCTCTGACCATGATATGTAAAATTGCAAATTGGTAAGCAGACCTCCTTATTCCGCTTCAGTTTTCTTCAGAGCCCTTTCATCATCTAATATGCTCTTTAATTACCTTACTTATATCATGTTTGTGTATCACCCTTTCTGGAATATGTCATGTTTAGATGGAAATTTTTTCCTACCGTATCTGTTATGCCTAAAATAGTACCTGGTATGTAATAGGCACTCAATAAATATATTTTTAGTGAAAACAATGGTAGCATTAGCTACAAGGGCATATCAACCTCAGCATTCATGATATTGAAGGCAATTTAAGAATATGTTATTGTATTTGATGTTCTTGCATCAATATTCTTTGTTGGGAGAGAGTTCTGAGATAGATGTTGGAAGTTCTATAAATAAAGTTAGCAGGCCAGGTGACTTAGAGCTAAAATCTGGATCTCATGTTTTGCACAATTTGCTTTGCAGGACCCCTAGCCTATCTAATAAGGAAGGTCTTGTTTCTCCAAAATTAAGTTACTAAAAGAGTTACTACTGCTCCTTTATAACACAAGGCTTTTTTGTGAAGGGGTGGATCTTAACGATGTTTCCCTGGAGTCTAGGCCTCTGCAGCTATGCTCTACAGCCAGTTACTTGAGAGGTATGAGACCACTCAACTGCAAAGGAAGAAAGCATTTTAATTTTCAGGGCATGAGGAGCTCATTCCTTAAAATCTAGAGGGGAGGAGCACTGCTTTGGCCAGTTTCCCCGTAGTTTTCATGATCAGAGAGCCAGGGTGAAAGTAATCTCCATTCAAAGAGCATTATTTCCTCTCCCAAACTTGGCAACAAAGAATATCATTTTTTGCTCAAGATAGTTCTTAGAAAGGACTGACATATTAAAATTCTAATAGCTTGAATATTATCCATCTCTTGTGCCTCCATTCATATCATGCATGTTCAAAACAATTTCTATTTTTTCCTATCTTCTTTTCTGTCTATGCTGTGTATACTTCTAAAAAGTGTCTATAACCAGACACAATTTCTGATATGTTTCCGCTATGGTGGTTTTTAGAAACTCATTCTAATTGGGCTGTAACTCAGGTAAAAGCCATAGCTCAGGTTTATCTTAGGGGCTATCAGCTTCCACGTATTTGAGTTACCTAATGTGTGAAAATAGAGCTATCCAACACTCTCATGCAGATTTGGTTAAATTTAATGTTGAGGTTAAACGCAGGGATATCTACTGAAAAACAGGCAGAACCTCTGGAAGAACTGAATAACAAAGATTTCTAGCCACCTCACCCCTGCCAATGGGGGGCACGTCTAGCTCCACTTCTGTCTACCAAATGCTACAGCTGCCCATTTAAATGCAAGAACGGAAAGAAGGGCTCAAAGGCAGGAACTTTGTTTGAAGGGATGAAAATTATTTTATGAGATTAAAATAAACAAGCATTTATTAACATAAATGGTGGTAAAATGGCAATAAGAAATTATTTTTTAAATGAATTCCTTAAAAAATCTAGAAATAGAAAGATAAAATTAGGTATAAAAAAAAGTTGAATGGTAAAAAGATACCGTAAGTGGAGATATTATATTTCTAACTAGTCTCCTTGACGTAAAATTATAAATTAAGTGAAATAAAATAAACAAGTAAAAATGAAAGAGAGAAGACAATAGTTAAAGTAGAGAAGGGACTTCAGAAATGTGAAATGCAGGCTATTGATCATTTTTAGAAAAAAATGGATAAACAGCAGAACAACAAAAATAATCATTTATTAAATAAGTGTATACTAATTGCTTGCTTTGTGTCAGAAACTGCAATAGGTACTAGGGATCTGTCAAGGAACCAGACTAACAGGTCCCAACCCTCACGGAACTTCATTCTATAGTGGCTGGACTCACAGTAAACAAAAAAACTAATTAATAAATAGAATTACCAAACATGATAATGGAAATGAATAACATGATATGATAGAGATGGGTACCTAGTTAAGAATGCAGGAAAACATTTCTGACATTTATTCTGAGAAATGAAGGGAGAAGCACCCATTCATACAAAACTAGCTAAGGAGAGTTCCAGGCAGAAGGAAGAGTAAGGGCAAAAGTAAGAGCAGGCAAAGTGCTGTGGCAGGGTGTGGCTGGGGTACAAGGTAATTTTTACCTGGCATACAATGTGTCTGCAGCTATTTACATTTAAATCTTCTTTTATTTCAGTAAACTTTGTTTTATTGATGTCTTTCAATTCTTGCTTGCTTCTATTTTTTTTTAACTTCCTTCTTTAGGGTCTCCAATTATGCATTTGTTATACCTTATTTGACTCTTAAATATAGATAAATAATACATAGACATGTAGATATGTTGTCTGCTATCCTTTTTAATGCTTTATTTTCATTCCATTTTGTTTTCTTGTCTTATTTTTATCCCCTATCTTTATACTGTGTCCTCTTTAGTATCTATTCTCCTTTGAGAAGCCCTCCAAATTTTATCTCCATTTCTGTGACAGCTTGTTTTTTTTCTCTTCTACTTCTTTCCTGAATTCTGCCAGTTTTTATTTCACTTCTAATTCCATCTTTTCACTTAGTTCTTGCATTTCTACTGTTCAGTCTTCCTTCATAAATGAAGTTGTGTTGTTGTTTTACTTAATGGTAAAATATATGGCCATAATTTTCATCTGCTCAATAGCAACTTTTTCCAGGGGACTGTACTTCATCTATCAGAAAGTTTTGCTGTTCTTTTCCATACCTTTTGTTGTACTTTTCTGTCTATGGTATAAGACCTCCATGTTTACTAATCGTTTTAAAATAAGTTGAATTTTCCTGAGCCAACCCTGTCTAACAGATAACAGAGATTGCTTCCTGCAGCTATGCCTATCTATGTGATTCTTTGTGTAGCTCTCTTTCTCTGTTTCTCTGAACCAACCACATGCAAAAGGGTTTGTGCTACCACCTTGCTCTCTTTAGTTCCTGCACAGATTGCTGCAATCAAAGGTAATAGATTTTGCTATAGAACCTGCTCTGAATGTGAGTTCTTCACTTTTGGAAAGTGTGTATTTGCTGGTATTTTTCAGATCTGCTGCCACCAGGCCTTCTCACCACTCTGCACTTTTCATTACATCCTCCTGCAAAATTTCTTTTGAATCTTTATGCTTTTAGCAGCCCTTACATTTTTGTGAGGTCTATGGATTATAGTAGTCAGATTTTCTGAAAATAGAATTTACATTTGTTTTGTTGTCATTTTCCTTACTGATTTTGTACAATTTTCCAGAAGGAGAAAGGGAAAAATATGAACTTTTGTACCCATAAAATTTCAAACCAGGAAACTTCCTATTATCTATTTTGCTATTAAAACTATTCCCTTATTAATATTGTATAAGATAGCAGTTGTAGTTGTAACAACAACTATTGTATAAATAGCTCATATTTAATTAAGCAACTAAAGGCTCTATCTTTTTCATATTATTGGCTATTACGTCAAGTCTTTACTTCATAGACCTATATGACTCATATTTTGAACTTATATGTAAGGTTTAATTTAATATATCCTTGATACATTCCATTGTTAGATTTTTCCCATTTTCCAGCATGTTGAGATGGTTTTGCATTTTGATAAAAACATTAGCACTTGTGTTCTTTGTTATTTCTGGAGATATTTTTCACTATTTTTTTTTGATACTGAGAAGAACATAATTCTAGAACTAAGCACTATGTTTTACATTAA